ATGAACAGAGAAGGATGTGAGAGCTATTGTCCTGCTGCCATTGTTTTACATCTGCCTAGCTGTGAATGTTGCTTCTAGAATATTTCTGAAAGACTTTGAAGTACCCTGTCCCATGCAGGAATAGGGAGACGCACAAAAAAGTGATTTTCTATGAATGTACAAGTTTGTGACAGAGCCAAGAACAGAACATGGGCTTCTGCCTCCTACTGATGTATTGCAGTTTTCCCCTTTGCACGTAGCTAAAATCAGCCCTTTTGTGCTGCCCAGAGAGTTGTACAATTAGGGGCTGACCCAAGTATGCTTTAGTCAGTGAAGGAACTCAGTGACTGCTGGCTCACTTCCTATCCATCTAAAGTGATACACCTCTTTCAGGAAGGTTGATTCATAGCAGTGAAGACTGCCCATGTACAGAGCACCGACGGACCAGAGAGGGGAACATAACTGTGAGTACAGCTGAGCTGAGTTTGTCTCTCTGACCTATCACAAAAATTTCTTCCAACTCCCTAAGTTGGAAGTGTTCTCCCTAACTTTGTTACTGTTACCATTTTCTTTTTTAAATTTAATTTGTCAATTATCACACATTGAATCACAGTAATGACTTCGTCTCATTAAACGTGTTGGATTTTCTTACATGAATGTACTCTTAATTTCACCTGTTCTTATTAAGAAGCCTCCCTGTAGGCCAAGGTGAAGGGAATGTAGTCTCTGCAAGGGATGCAGAAGCAGCCAGATGGGCACCAGCTCAATTCTGGAGGATGCCATTTATTGGAGGAAAAGGGGATTCCAGGACCTCAGCACCACTTTGGACAGAAATACTGCAGCACTTAGAGCATGCTAAGGACGTGAGCAAGATCATGTGTCTGGTCATTGTCAGTGCAAAGGAGAGAGAATCAGTTAAGAATAAAGAAAAACCACAGTCTCTCTCATTTTTGCAATGTCCACCAATGTACTGAGAGATGTTCTGGATGTCTGTCCAGCTCTCACTGAATACAAATAACTAAATAAACAAACATTAAATCCTCTTGCTTACACCCAAGAGACAAAACTGTGCCGACGCCCTTGGATGACATAAATGAAAGTACCTAAGTGAAATATCCATGCATCAAATAGTGGGGATGGGAAAGATATGAGAGCCAAATATGCTGCGTCACTCGATTGGAAGTACCATGCAATGCAATAGTGTGAGAAGCTGTTGAATGTATCTAGGAGGAGCAAAATGGAATAAAACCATTCCTAGTGCCTATAATATATTCAGTTAAGATGTTCCTCAGTGCTAACAACTTCAGATTAACTTTGAAGCAGTTGCCTGTGGGAAAACTACTTCTGGGATCTTGTTGCCAGTCTATAATTTTCCAAGAGCATTAGTTAGTAATGACACCTCCTAAATGCAGAATACAGCAGAACCCGACCAGCCTGGCCTGCACACTACGACCTCCTCAGCGCTGCACTGCAGTACACATGTGAACAAACAGGTCTTCATCAAGCAGCAGATCACACTTGAAGTGGATGGAAACCAGTTTATTACATGTGAAGAGATGACAACACTGCTCATAAGGACTGAGTGGGTAGCAGTACTCCTCCTTTGCACAAGAAAGGAAGTACTGTCTCAATTTTAAGCTCTAACCATGCCTTTATGTGTCTTAAAGGCAGGTGGGGCTACTCACAGCCAGCTGCAGCACTGGTACTTACACCAAACCTTGCTATGCCACAGCCCTCATTATGCACAGGACTGAACTGGACTGAATGTTTCTTTACTAAACAGAAGAAAATGCATAATCAGCAGATGGTAACACTGAGCACTCTGAACTAGATGTCTTTACACTGGTACAGATCAAGTAGGCGTGCTTTCTCTACACACACAGGAACAAGAGGAATTATTTTAAAATAAGTATTGCGTTTCATGCATGAAGACATCTGGAGAAGATTAAAAGAACAAAGTGAACCACTATGCAGGCAAAAACCTGACCGGCAGAGTGTATAAACTTAATAGGAAATGATCATTGTGGACTTTTGTTTCCCTGTTCACTTAGCTGTGCTCAGTGCCATTTGACAGCAGGATTTGATTTATCATTTGATAGAGCAATCTGTATCGTCTCTCAAGTCTAAAAATTATTCCACTGTTGCTGGCCAAGGAGGCTTTTTTTTTCTTTTTAAATTGTGAAATACCAACAAGTAGCTAGAGAACAGTTGATAAGACCTTAAATGAGGCTATTAGAAATTATATATCTTTTCAGAAACGTGCAAATTAGTCAAAAACTTCCTTTACATAAGTGAAGGTTCCAGCTACAGTATGCTTGCATCTATTTCACTGAGAAGTGCAACAACTGCTCCTCAGCCCACTGGAAATCAAAGCCTAAGGCTTCATACCAGCCAACTTGTGTACCCACCAGGAACGAATTATCCCATACGCAGAGTCCTGGGACTAGAACTAAATATCTTCACAATGAACAAGCAAAGGAAGAACTACTATATACAACATGTTATTTGGTAAACGACACAACAATGTAATTCCAAATTGAGATTCTGGGAAATATGCAGGTATGCTTACTACCCCAGCTGTACTTCAAAGAAGGGATTAACTAAGGAGATCTTCTTTGAGGCAAGGGGATATGCAGCCAGCTGGAGTCTACCCCCTCACAATGCGGCTTTCCCAAATCCATTTGGATGATCAATTTGGCCTGTTCTGAAAGTCATCTGCCTGTGATGGGGGAAAAAACATTCTGTTTTTCTATCATTTCTGCAGATAGGCTCACCCACATACGCTAGTCATGGGAAACTGCATGAATCAGACAGCTCCCTTTTTCATTAAGGGCTGAGAGAAATCTTCTGGAAATTAAAACAGCGATCACTGAAGGAACCGTGGAACAAAAGTTTTAAATTTCAGAACACGTCAGTATTGATATGCCTTGGGAAATGTTGCACTTTTCATTATTATCTTGGGCTATTGTCATTTCCCTTTAACAATTCTAATTATTTGATTCTCAGCAAGAGACTATTTAAGATCACAAACAAAATTTGTTTTCAGAAGTTTACAACTCAGCCTTACATAAGAACGTTTTATACAGAGCTCTTCATGCTCTTTCAGTTCATCCTGCCAGGCCCCGTTACCAGTGCTCTCCCTCCAGCACAGCCTGCTCTGACAATGGGAGCAACGAGGGGCAGCTCTCTTCTCTCACCCGTGTGTGTTTTGAGTGCTCCCCACCGTACGCCTAAACGTACCCACACCACTACCGCGTACATCTTGAAGGGAAGCTCTTCTCCCAAGAGCTGATGTTCTTAGAGGAAAACCAGCATAACAGTAGAAAACGCCTAAAAATATCCATTTAAGAGTGATTATTCAACAAAGAACAAATTCACTTTCCCATGTTTTCCTGGTGATTGAGATACTTCTCTCTGTTGCGTCTCCTGGCTGCCTCTATGCTTTTCATACCAGCACACAACCAGACAGCAGTAGTTATCAACAAGCTTGCTGCTGCCCCAACTCAAGCGAATGGCAAACTGAGAACTCAGCTCAAAACAAAGTGAAAAAGAGTCCTCAAGTAAAGGAGTAACCAGTGTGGTAAGAAGCTGAGGTTTCTCATGGCTTCACTGCACAGGAAGTGAAAGTGTTATTTCTGCATTGAACATTGGAAAGGGCAATTGATCTAAAGAAATAAGCTGTAACATATCCTTAGAAATAGCTGATGTGGAAAGAATACCATATACATATTAGTAACATTTTTAGAAACATAGTTACCTAATTACCTAACAAATTCTCTCTCACAAAGCTGCAACAGACTTCAAATGTTCTAAACAACCTGGGTATCGTATTCTGAAGTAGGAAACATACTGTAATTGTTCATTAGGCCGGCAGAAGCGAAATACATTTAACAAACTTTCAAGGAGTCGGGGCCTTTACACAAAGCACAACTGTCCCACTTTGTGGGAATGTTAGGATGCCATAGGCAGGCTCCACGATACTCCCCTCTATCCTCCTCCCAAGCTTCTCTCTATGCAAGGACAGATGAAAGACCAGAACAACGACCCAGTGCAAATGGGGCACAAATGTTAGGGGGGGTAATTAAACAATTAAGAGGCTATGCTTATGTTGTAAAACAGGAAGTCACGACCAAATGTTTGTTAAGAAAGCAATTGTTAGAAGGCAATTAACCAACTAAGATATTTGTGTTTGGGCAGCAAAGATCTGTGTGTACGTGGTATTTGTATGATTACTGAAGCATCGCAAACGAGTGTGAACCTGCAGTATGCAGCCAATGAGCAACCAGGGGAGAAAGAGATAAAGAAAGACATAAGCGTCAGGCAATAGGGGATAAAAGATGTAACAGTTTTCTCTGTGTGCTCCTGTTTTGGAGGAGGCCTGCCATTGCAAGTGCAAATAAGATCTACTTTATCAGAGAAACCACCCTGGAAAATTATTTGGACGTTTCCAACAACTGTGGTAGCTTCACTTACTTGCTGTAGGGAGAGGATGCTACAGGGACACGTGAGAACGTTTTGCTGCCAGGCATCGCACAGGCAGCGAATCTGCGGGGTCTCGCAGGTGCAACCAGGCAGCAGGCCGGGCGCTCGGAGGCGGCGCCTCAGGCACACGACGGACAGCCGTTCAGAGCTGCGCTGCTCGCCTTACCTGACGTCGCACCCACCGTCTTCTCTTCACAAAGAGAAGAGAGCGCTCGCTCCTAAAACTTATTTCAGACGGCAGGTTTATACAAATCCTCCGCCACTCACGTGGAAGAGTTTACCAGCGGCTGATTTCAGCGGAGGTTACGGCGGGGACCCCGGGGGAGAGCCGTAGGCGCGCGGCAGGGCGCGAGCGATCGAACGCGAGGCGCGGCCGGCGCTGCGCAGCCCCCAGCCGCCGTCGGCGGACCGCTTTCGCTCCACGCACGGCTTCCCTTCGGCGCGAGCCTCCCGCCCGGCCCCTCCCTCCGCCCGCCGGGGCGGGGCCAGGAGCAGCGCGGGGCGCGCGGCAGAGGCGGGCCGGCAGCGCGGGGCGAGCCATGGGGCAGGGCTCGGCGCGGCTCAGCCGCTCCGGCGTTCCGCGGGCGGCCGGCGGCGTCTGCGCGGCGGACGGGCAGCGCGCGGGGTCCTTCTCCGGCGCCCCCGCGGCGCTGCTGGCGGCGCTCATGGGGCTGCTGGTGCTGGTCACGGTGCTGGGCAACGCTCTCGTCATCCTGGCGTTCGTGGTGGACCGGCGCCTCCGCACCCAGGGCGACTTCTTCTTCCTCAACTTGGCCGTCGCCGACCTCCTGGTGGGTGAGTGCCGGGGCGGCGGAGGGCCGGGGGAGCGCGGGGCGCCGCGCGAGTCACCACCGGCTGTGTCCGCAGGCGGCTTCTGCATCCCGCTCTACATCCCCTACGTGCTGACGGGCGAGTGGAGGCTCGGCCGGGGCTTGTGCAAGCTGTGGCTGGTGGTGGACTACCTGGTGTGCACCGCCTCCGTCTTCAACATCGTCCTTATCAGCTTCGACAGGTTCATCTCCGTCACCAAGGCGGTAAGGGCTGCGCTCCAGGGCACGAACGGCGAAAGCCGGGGTTAGCAGAGAGAAGCCCAGCACAGAGCAGCTGCAGGCAGGGCTTGCTTGGGTGATCCTCGCGCTCCTCAGACACCACAGGAGATGGGAGCAGCCTCGATACACCCGCTCTGTTCTGGAAGTAGGTTTAGGAATAATTGGCTTTGGCAGAAAGTTCTTTCTGACTTTTATGCTGCTTTAGAAACTGGCACAGGCAGTACGTGCTGCTGTTGAAGCTAGAAGAGCAGTTTTCTCATTTCTTCTGCAGTCACACCTTAGAAGAGCTTAAAAAAAATCATTACCCGGGTGCAACAGAGCATTCCCTCAGAACACAGCAACGCACCTACTGACAGCCTCCTGTAAAGGCAGAGCTCTGCAACAGGTACTAAGCCCTTCCATGGTGCCCAAACAACACATTATATCTGCCACTAGGTCTCATTCTCCTACAAGCAGTTCGTGGCTATTCTTCAGCACCATTTCACTGGTATTTTGTTAAAACATCAATTTAGCTTCATTGTAAGCATTCATCAATGTAAATCACACAACCATTAACTATTCAGTAAATAGTTAAAAGAAACAACAGCACTTAAACAGTTTATACGTAGCTTAGTATTTCACCAACTATTTTTTCCAACAGGGAGAAATGAACAGATTAATTCTCAAATAGTCAACACAACATTCCTTTATTTTCTAAGTTCTGTATTAGCCATGAATTTTACTTTTAGAAACCACACTCGTGACTATACACATAATATAAATATATAGACTGGATGGTTTCAGAAACAAACTGTTTATAATAAATGATAGAGTTCAGCCTCTTTGAAACGTTTCAAGTAAATCGCCCATATAAAAATCCCTCCCGAAGCAAAGAGTACAGAATCTGCCCACTGGTGTAGAGCAACATGAGAACACATGAATGAGTTCTAAATTATTCTCTCAGTGAAAGTTTCAAACTTCCTACAGAAGCTGCTGATGATTTCAGGAGCAGTCTTGAAAAGGATTGCAAAAATCAGACCCAATTCAGACAAACTCAGAGTTCCTCAGCTGTACTGCCATACTAACCAAAACAGCGTAAGCCCTGGAGACCAAAATCCACAGACTGGGACAATGGGCAGGAATTCAATGAGATTTCAAGGCTGAGGACTTTGCATTCCAAAATATTGTGTCAAAAGTCCCTGGGATTAGCCACTGTAGAGATGGGAAGATGGAATTCCAATTCATTACATGAACATTGCCTGGTACACCAGGAAATCAGAATATGAAAACTTAAATGATCTTGAGGTTCTACTCTATACTACTGCTGTTGTGGTTTACTGACTTAGTGACATACAACTTTTGTGGCATCCTAGATTCCCTGTTTTCTAAATAAGGAAAATTATTCATCCTGCAAAGCATTTTGCAGACCACAATAGTCTTATCAATCTCACTTGCAGGTAACAGTTCTGTAAGTAATTTGTGACAAAATGAAAAGAAGGGTATAAAACAAGAGCTCTTCACCATTTCTTCTTGTGAGCAACTTCTGCATTAAGAAAGAAAAGCTGTCTATACAAAGCATTGAGGATCTGCATTCACAACAGTGCAAGCTCTATTCATTTATTAAAAGTTTTAGATCGTTTAATATAGAACACATCGATGAATTTCAAAGAGCTGTCTTTGATAGCTTTGATAAGCTGTAAACTTGTGTCATAGCTTATGGAAAAGAATACATAAGCAACTAGTAACAGCTAATTCTAGAAACTGCAATGGGTATGTACTTAAGAAAAGCCTATTTTCTAGTTTGTAAGGTCTGATGCACGTTCTCAGAACATATCCGTCACCATGACAGTATTTCTGAAATACCCATTCTAACAAACATCTTTTCCGTGGTTTTGGTGAGCCTGTAATAACCCCTACCCCCAAACCAATATTTATTATCATCAACCTTCAAAAGGTAAGAGGTCCACGTTCCAAAGTGCCCCTGGAACCACTTGAGATGCCATTAATATACTTAACTTCTTTCTTTCTCAGGTGAGTTACAGAGCACAGAAAGGGAAGACCAGAAACGCAATACTGAAGATGATCACTGTATGGATCGCTGCTTTTCTTCTCTATGGTCCAGCCATTCTCAGCTGGGAGTACATTGCCCAGAAGAGCATCCTTCCAGAAGGAGAATGTCATGCAGAATTCTTCTACAACTGGTATTTCCTAATGATTGCTTCTACCATTGAATTCTTTACACCCTTCATCACTGTTACATACTTCAACTTAAGCATTTACCTCAATATTAGGAAACGCATATCCCTTAGAAATGAAAACTTATCTCCTGGCCAAGAGGACTGTGAAATGAGTTTCCGAGAGAAAAAAAGACAACACACCATATTTTTTGTAAAACCTGCTAACAGACAAAAACACAAGACAACAAAAGCAAGCAGCCTTTCTCCCCTGCAGAAGGCTTCAAGGCTCAGCCTATGTAAATTTGACAGTCAGTCATTAAATCTGAATGTCAATCAAGACCTTACACCACTTCAGATGAATGTAGAGACCAACCCTCATAGGAACAGTTTCTATAAAACTACAGAAGATGCAGGCGACACCACCACGAGAGCAGACACTGCTATGACAAACAGATTTAGACTTACTCGAGATAAAAGAGTAGCAAAGTCTTTAGCAATTATTGTCAGTGTGTTTGGTTTGTGCTGGGCACCTTATACACTTTTAATGATCATCAGAGCAGCTTGCCATGGGCAGCGTGTGTTACATTCACTTTATGAGACTTCATTTTGGCTTCTGTGGGTAAATTCAGCCATTAATCCTATTCTCTATCCACTATGCCACATGAGCTTCAGGAAAGCCTTTATCAAACTCCTGTGCCCAGGAAAAGTTAAAATTCATCCTCATATTTTTACGTAAAATAACCTGTGAAATTTGTCAGTAGGTACACCTTGCTTTCAGTGGGAACACAAACTGACCAATACTCATCTGTAAATAGTAAATGCACTGTGCACTGAATATTTAAGGGAACACTGATGAGTAATATTCAGGAATCTTTACAATACAGTCATCTGCGTAACTGAAGAAATAGCTATCAGTGAAAACAAAGGTAATTTCTCAAATTTGTTTGGGGATTGCCTACAGTATATTTTCTGGTGATGATGCACTAGCACTGAAGAGACAAAAAGGGAATACAAATTTCATATCCAACAACTGGGGAACATCTCACTATTAATATGTCTAAGTGATACTAGTAAGAAATTTAATTGTTAGTTTGGATTTGTTATATTTTACCCCCAGCCACTCTGTAAGGACTTCAGGTCTTAGCTGCTAAGCATTTTGGGGAGGAAATCCCCAATCCCTATCCAACTAATGGTACCCAGGAAAAGCCTGGAACAAGAGGTACCAGAACAGTTAGGGTACCAGAAAAGCTGAACAACTATACCAATAAAGGAACACTGACTTAGCTAGAAAAGGCGATTTGTTTCCACCTTCATTAGCATCTTCTACAGTTTTACAGACACTTAATTCTGAGAACAATTCATAGCTATTGAACATCCACAGTCACCCAGTGCCACAGCCAAAAAGCATCTTAGCACAGCTGATCTTAAAGTTCACAAATTATGAAGTTCATTTTGTAAAGTGTCAATAAAAGTAATTACAAACTGTGAAAGAGTTACAACTGTCATCTTAACCAGGAGCACAAGGAAATAAGCACTGGTTTGCAACATTAGAATAACTGCAGCTGAAGCCACAAAACTATTATTAAGAAGTAATTCCTGAGTTACAAGTACAAGTTACCTTAAGAATTAAACATACTTTCACAAATATTCTAGAATAAGAGGGCATATTCCAACCATATGAATGTAACTACATGAACATAATAATCACATTTTACTATTAATGCTTCATAACAAAGAATCTGCTTTAACTTTTTTCTTAAACAAGGGACAGCATCAACAGATACTGAGTAATGGTATTCAAAAGATTTTTTGTTTTGTTCTGTTTGGGTTTTTTTTTTTTTTACTTACACAACGCAAATGATGCCGTGAGATTCCCTCTATTCCTCCTCCACACCAGCAGAGCAACAACCTAATTCTTATCTTCTCTGTAATTCTCAGGTTTCCTAGGATTATATTCGTCATTTTCAAAAACAAGCAGTGACACTAAATTATTAGACAACCCAGCAAAGTCTGACTTCCTCATCCAATAAAGCCTATGCCATTTGAATAGCAGTGACCAACTCAAGGAGCGAGGAAGTTTAGTCGGTAGCTTTAGAACGCTGCAGTCAGTTAAGGTAAAGAAACAAGGTTTCAAAGTTTTTAGCAAATGGTATTAATCTACAACTAGATCAGTCTTCACATAACCATTGGAAATTGCTCTACCACTCAAATTTCTACAGCTTCATCATTTAATTGCCACGTATCTGTTTAGCACAGACCTAGACTCTAGTAGGATTCTCCACCACTCTCAAGTCTGAAAAGCACTCCGAAGTGTTAACAGGCACCTTTCAGCAGAAATTGATTTTGGATGACAGTTTTCTACATCAGGACAGCTAGCACCCTCCTTAGTTGGTCCAGGTTAACCATGCCTTTGTTTTTTTGTCCCTTCAAAGCAGAAGTCCCTTTGCTTTTATCAGAAGGTAGTACTAGGTTCAAACAGTGGGCTCTGAACAGACAAAACAACAGGTGTTAATAGCAATTTTATTGTTTCACTGGTGCAAAAATCATGATAATGAATAAACTGGTGTAATGCATTTTCCCCTAAATTTACAGTAATGAAGGTTATACATATCTATATAGATTGCAATTTCTCTATTTTTATACTATTTGGAACAAAATTATCTTGATAAATACTCCCTGTGCACGGTACTGGCTCTCGCTGAATGTCACAGAGCCTTAATATGCAAAATATAACTTCTGTTTTTGAACATGGTATTTTAAAACTCTCCAAACATGCATTAATATATTCTAGTTTTTAGGGAAAAACATTACACTTAGTCTTAACTTGCATTAAAAGAAAAGCACAAGCAGAACCTGACATACAATAATCCCAAAAATCTGATGCTCTGTAAGGATCACAGTTTCAGATGACAGTCACTGCCAGTTTAGAACTCTAGTGCCACAGAAGCAACAGCAAACAGACAAGAGAAGTCAAAAACAGAAGAGCCCTACCATGTCACATAGATTCCAAAGAAAGATTCAGCCATGCTAACTGAGGAAACCTGTAGTTGCTGGTCCAACCTTTCAAATTCGTTAGAGTACTTAACACAAGTGTTTCAAGTGCCAGACTGAGCACATGAATATTAACTTGACATTTCTGAAAGGCACAATCTATGAATCTATCTTAAAAAAAAACCATACGGTATGTAAATGAAAAGAAACAAGTACAGTGCGTATCTTCTTTAAAGAACAAGACCTTCATAAATTGGCCCCTCAGATTCTGGTGATTCCCTCCTCAGACGCAAGTGCTCCAGTGTGTTGTGAAAGTGTTTGTTAATTTGTTCTGTTTCTTCAGTAGATTCGAGGTTTGGAAGATCTTCTCTTATCTTTTGTATGAGTTGATTCAAAACTTGAATTGTCACCTGCAGGAGAAGATATGAGCAACAAAATAATTGACAAGACCTCTGTATAACACAAATATTAGTTTTAACAGACTACAGACAAACTTCTCTCGGTATTTGGACAGTTCTTAGAGTTATTATTGATAACATATGCAGACAAACTGCTGGACTCTGCACCTCCTATTGCTCTTCTAGTAGGCACAATACTTCAGATTTCAGAATTTTCTGAAAGCTTCCCCCAACTCTAGCAAACGTGTACTGCCTCTCAAGGGAAGAAACCTACGGATTTGTAACTTAACAGTATTTCTCTTCACTTTATCCATTACAAATGTTAATGACTTTAAATAAATAAAGCACACAACCAGACTGTCTAGACAACCTGTCTCCTGTAGAAGTCAGGATGGTAGCATCAGATTAAGTTATTCTTAGCAACCAAGTCACAGCTTAGGAAAGTACAGCTGTCTATGGCACCAAGTCCAGCATTACACAGAACACCAAAGCACAAAATGCACTGCAGACTGCCACTGTATCAGGGACTGTTCTTACACATGCGCTCAGTGTCTTGAAACAGTTGTTTTGCCTCAGTCTACAGATCCAGTATCTCCAACACTACTGTAGTAGCTGGAAATTAGTTCTGCTGCTGCAAGTTATAAAATCCCTAAAATCTCTTCAGATGTTCTCTCAGAATTACATTATATTTATTAACATCTGTTCTTTACTAATGGTGATATAAAAACTTCAGAAGCTTACCAGCTACATGCTAACTAAAAAATGAGTATGCTGCAACCGCTATCTCAGATGTTACATGCAAAACTTAGGCTGACATGCAAGACATCACACCAGTTTGAGATTAAAGTCAACACCAATCTTTGGTGGCACTCTCCACAGTGACCTTGAATAGCTCTAAGAATTCTATTTCCCTTAGTGCATATTAAGTTAAATACCTCTGAAGTTAGGTGAAAATACAGTAAGATTTTAAATCCTAGTCAATTTTGACCTAATAAAAGTAGATGTATCCAAGTCTCACAATTTAAATTCAGAACTAGATTACAAGTGTTTTTTTTTCCCCACGTAAGAAAGAAATCATCTCTACAATGTGGAGAGCATTATATTTTTACTAGCATACCAAAAATTAACCACTTAGTATTACTGTTTAGCACATTAGGCAGACATGATCTGGGGTATAAATGAGTACAGGTGTTAGAAAATAGATTTAACGAGTAATGTATTTTTACTCACTGCCTCATTTTCCTTTTCGTAAAAATAGATGTATCTATTGAGAATTTCTATGAAAAGTTGGACTTGCAGAGAAGGGTCCATGCACTGATTTGCTATTTTTAAAGCCTTCTTCAGGCACTCCATCACTCTCTTTCCTCCATGAAGCTACAAGGAAAAATAAAGTTACGAGAAATAGGAGAATAAAATAATACAATAGAAGAAATAGAATAGGGAGAACCAACATCCCTCAACACATAGATAGCATTTCACAGGGGTACATTACAAAAACAACTGTAGAGAACTACACAAACTGCAGAACAACCTACCATTAAAACTGTACCTTTCTCGATTTTAATAGTTTGGGTAAGCTTTCTGTGAAGTCAGGTAATAACAAAGTTGTTGAAAGCCTCTAAGTATCTAACTAAATTCAATTTTATAGATTATGCACATTACAATATGTACACTAACGCATAGCTTGTGAAACAAATTTCAAATGTTCATAGTACAACAGCTCATTCGGGAAAAGCACCTCCCTTCTTACCTTTGAATTCAACAATTTGTACCTTCAGAGTTCATTGATTCATGTGCAAACAGCTGTACAGATGTGTAAAGTGCAGGAGATTACTTTGAGCCAGCCTTAAGTTACCTGACATTCACAAAATCTTGCATGGTACTTCTATTTGTAAGCTTGAGTTTTTTTTTTTAATTCTCTATTTTTAATAATCAGAGAATTTTAATTCTCTAATTCTCTTACACTGTAAGATTTAGATGCGTCATATATTGGAATGCATTCCAGCCAAGCCTGCATCAAATTGCGTTCACTTTAGAAGCTAGTGCATTCTGAAGGAAGACACAGCTACATTACTGAGGTAGGATGTGCTGCGCTGTGTCCCTTTATTCTTACCTCCTCTCCATTCTTGTCAGTGTTTCGGCCAGACCAGAACAGATGGGCACAAGTACTCACAGCCCGGCACTGGTCTGGTTTCTTAAGGAGCTTAGAGGCTGCCAACGCACACTGAGTCCTCAGAGGCTCATGGTTCTCCTCACTGAAGCACTTCATCCTCTCAAATGTCCCAATTATCAATGTGATTGCAGCCAGCTGTGCCTTTGAATCACTAATTTCATCTTCATACAGAGAGAAAGCCTAGTCAGAGAAGGCAAATCTTAATTATTGCTTCAGAACAATATAAAAAAAATTACACTTGCAACAACAAAAAGACAATTGGACATTTCATAGAGACTGTCACCATCTAGTCAAAACTACAGACTAGAAATGTGTCCTGCAAGAAAAAGTTATTGAAATAGTCATAGAAAACATGTATGGTTCTCTAATAATCCAGAGATTGAGTTTCTCCTTATTCCAGGCATCTGCTCAAATAAGGAACTTCAGTAACAGAAATATTCATTAACAAAGATTCTTTGAAAAGCAAAACAGTACGGCAGAAGTTTAAGCGGTAGGTTACTGACCATCAGTCAGGTTTCCTAACTGTCAGTCAGGAAAACGTTTACACTGTTGCTGTGTGGACAAAGCCTTCAGAAAAAGAACGTACCACTAAAGAAATCTCAAACTATTGTTTCTAATATAAGGCACATAATTGGCACACTGGTCCATCAGAATTGCGCTGCGTCAGAATAGCAACTGATCCACAGTGAGTAAAGACAAGGGGTTATCAGCGACTCAGTTTAAGAACATGCACTAGTGGCAGTATGAGAGGAAAGATAAGGACAAGGCCTGTAATCTGGACAGCATTAATAAGTCAGTTCTTCATCTAATGTGGGCAAGTGGGAGAAAGGCTTAAGTTATAGGCAAAGCAGACTTGGAAATAATTTAATGACTTTCAACAAAAAGATTGTTATCAGTAAAGACCAGCGTGACAGCTGTGACCACCACAAATTTTATACAACTTCTATGAGTGCCAATGATCAGTACCATATGAGCTACAGGAGCCAGAAAACAGTCTTAAAAGCAATGAAAAAGCATTTTACACTGAGAAAGCCACACTTCTCCTGCAAACCAACTGCATGAGGATGTGGCCGCATTGCAACATAACACACATTGTCAGACTGTGTACTCAAAATAGTATCAATGGAGCTCAATTACACAGAACCCTGGGAAGCAAGAACAAAGTTAAGGAGTTCCAACCTAATAGTATTTGCTGCAATATTTGATGTTTTAATCACACTGGATTTTCGATGTTCAGAGAACTGATCCAAATCAAGTTTAAGGTAGCACAGGAAGTGACAGCAAAGGACAGCTGGACACTTACCTGGGACATGAATTCATAGGCCACAGTTTCATGATTCTCAAAGCCAATCTCTCCTGCAGCCAGTGCTCCTTGTAGAAAGAGACGAAGAGGCAGCTCTGCCAGCTCTGCTTTGATCAAAGCACTGATAGTCTGATGAGCAAATGAGAAGATTTTCTGGCACTTCTTCTCCCACTTGTCATCCTAGAGAAGTAAAACAAGTTGAAGACTGAACGAGATCATAGCTATAAGAGAAAAGAATATGAACTGTAGCAAAATCTGTTAAGCACTCCAATCTGTTCCCTTCTGGATGTCAGTCAATTACTGAAATGAATGTGGGCTGCTATATGTGGCCCTCACAGTACTGCATGGATCTCAGCAGGTCTTAACAAAACAAGAGAATTTTAAGACATCCAATTTCAAGAGTGCTTTTAACAAACAACATTTTTTCTTCACTCTGTAACCCCACACTAAGGGGAAATGCATGTTTAAATTATTACTTTCAATTAGAAAGCATTTAAGAGATAAAAATTGAAGAGGAGTTGTTTTAGTGTAACTTGAGCAGTAGTTAGAAGAGTGCAATCAGCAGAGGACTGTGCAGTCTGCCTTGAGAAGAAAAAAAAAGTACTAATATTCCAGGTCAAGCTTCTGTGCACTATTAGCTGCAGCCAGACAAAATGCTCCCCGCTCGTCTAAAGCAGGAGGCAAAAAGCAACAAGCATGCAAAAGACATCCAGAGGCCAACTCACCACTTTGGAGTTTTCCTTGTAACGAAAAGCAAGCTGGTATGCTGCAAAAACCAATGGTGGCAGAGTAAAACGAATACGTTGGTTCCCACCTGCACCAAAGTGTTTTCGAGCAGTGTTTAAGATCTAAAAACAGAAGCAGTAGAAGCTTAGAGAATTCTTAAAAAATTCACATCATTTGCATTTACAATCTACACTCCATGGAGTAGGAAGACATGGAGTCAGTATCAGTAAGTTACAGTATTTTATAGGTGGTGATGGGGAAGATATACAAACTGCTTAACATGAATTACGTTTGTGCAGTATCCGTAGGTTTTTTGTGCACTGAGTGACAAAACTTTTTCCTGTAACTGCTTAATAAGTAGTAGGCAATGCTCATACTTTATTAACTATAGATACATTCTGGATTGGGTAGTGAGACAGAAATTGCCTGGGCTCACATTTAGAACCTGCATCAGATACCTTCTATTCTCAGAATAATAGAAACTGCCAAAAAAAAACACAAAACCATCTTTTCCTACAATAGCCTGTAGAAAACTATAAAGCAGTTAAGTTTAACAAAAGTCATCCAAATTTCACTCGATGCT